GGTTCTAAAGGCTGCCCAGGGACACCGCAGCCACAAGGCTGCTGGCCGCTGCAGACTTCACAGCGCCAAAAATAGAAGTTGACTCCTTTGACCTTGGGGCCATCAGTGCTGATCCCGTGCATGAGCTGGGGGTTAAGTCAGGCTCGGGACTGCACAGCTCTATCTTTCGGCCTTTTAAGCACTACCCTCAGAGCTTCAAACACCCACACAGCCTGCCATACAGTAGCTGAGCTCTGTTGGACGGGTGGCCACTGGCTTCTAGACACCCCGGAGCTTGCGGCAGCGATTGCACAAGTTGACTTTTGCGACCCAGTCAAAGAAAAGAGCATGGAGGAATCACGAGCCTTAAGGAAGCTGCGGGCGAACCCTGTCCTGGCATTCACTTGACATCTCAGGTCAAAACCGACCTCTGGCAGCTGGCGCAGGCCTTGGTGAGCAATCCTTCAACCACCAGACATCTGACGTGGCCGGTTACACCCTAGGGCAAAAAACGCCAAGTCCGGTTACTAAGTTGCTAGCCCAGGGGTCGATTCTTACGGCTTACGATGCCAGACAGGTCCCCGCAGCTTCTGCAGCTGATGCGCGGAAGCTCTGGCTTGAAGCCTATTTCAGAAATATTGCAGCTTCCGCATTGAGGCTAGGCTTCTGTTCACATACTCCACGTGTTTGCGTCTTTTGTGGTGGTCTGGGGTCTGAAGCTGCAACCCAGCTATGCTTAGCTATGCTTAACTCTTCCGCGATCGCTGGGAAAGAAGTCCCAGAGCAGCAGGACTAGCCAAGACATCGCAAACAAGGCTGCCAACCTGAACGCTCGGCCTAGGAACATCTCAGAGCAGCTGACATAGCTCGAGCACAACAGAAAAACTAACAAACAAACAAGAACTAATTTCTGGTTACTTGTATGACCAGACGTTCCCTATCTGACGCTTTCGCAATTGCGCAGTGAAGCATGCAGACAGGACACAAACTTCGCCAAGCCAGACTCCTGCGTCGAAGCACTCAACGTTTCCAAAGCTTCACACATTCTTGAACCGGGCATGCAGCTTGAACATGCCTCAACGCTGGGTGATGCAGCTGAACAAAGCAGCGAAGTCTCAAACCGTCTCCCCCCGCCCCCACATCACTAGGTCGCAAACCCTCCACAAAACGATCATCAATCTCTTGCTGACACTGCCCTGCGAAGCTGGGAATGCATGGGAATACTGGAGGCTTCTGGCTCTGAACATCACGTCTCCTTCGTCGTGCAACCTCACGCTGCAACTACGAGCGATTGGCAGCTTGTACCCACAGCGCAGCCAAGTCGAACAAAAAGTCAGGATGCTCACTGGATGCTCACTGCTCATAATCTTCACCGGTCTTGTGCTGCAGCAAAGGGTCGTCGGTAGATTTTGTCACACCTGAAAGCTTCTTTGTCGCTAGTCCAGACTGATTCTGAAGGCTTGAGACAGGAACGGGCCAGTCCAATCACTCCAATCACCTTTGCGGTCTTGCCTAGTCCGCACCATTTCTCAAGTCTACCTTCAGGCCTTAAGGAACTCGAAACATGTCGAAGCAGGAGCCGCTCAAATAATGCCAATCGCGTAATCCCTTCGGCCAAGGCACGCGCAGTTTGCAGCGAGCTCCTGCATGGGAGACAGATCTCGTGCGGCAGCCCAGCGTTCAAGTCAGCGTAAGATCTGTTAAGTGTTGTGGTTGTGGCCGTTCCGGGCCGATGATGGTGACCGTAGCAAGCAAGCAGGGCTCGGAAGTAAATGTAACAGAATGCCTCAGGGCTGAAACAAGTCTTTCTTGCCGAGCATCAAACTGTCTCAGCAATCACCCGAAAGCTCATGTGCTGAACTCCGGAAGCTCTCCTTGCGGAGCTCTTGCTGCTGTCGATATTCGTAAACGTCCCGGTACAGGACCAACTTGGTTCGACCAATGCTCTTCCGTCTAGCCCAAAGCAACTAAAGCAGTGTCTCAAGTGCCGTTTGGCATTGCAGAGCTCATGTCATGCGAGAGCCAAGCCGCACCAACTCCAGGAATCATCACCAGTGTGAACAGAATCGCGCACAAGACCACAACCTCCTGGTGTTGCATGCAAAAGCACCACGCATGGACGGGAAGCAGCATTGGGCGACGTTGGGTGTGGTTCGTGTAGCTGCTACTTTCTCTACGTACTACTGCACTGCACTGAAGGTTCTATTGGTATGACACCCACAGTGGTCGCGCAAACACTTCCCTAAATCAACCCGACAACGTTTTCACTGTGCACACATCATGCCCATGTCGCCGTACCCCTATAGTCTAGTTTGCCAGCAGCTCCTGCGGCTTTGCAGAGGCCAAACAAGCAAACCCCAAACCCAAGATCTCAAAGGAGATGTTTGTGCCGGGACTCGAAAATTTCATCGCCAGTCTCTGGCAGCACCTGCTGGCCCACTAGCTTTCACAGGCGGGCAGTGTCAACACAAGCGCATTCGCAGCAGATCACTGACAAACCAATTTACTTCATCACCACTGAGGGGGGGCTCTTGAGAAAGGCGATGACTCCAACAGGTTTGGATGCGAATGCCAAAACGGCCATGCAAAGATGCATAGTTCTGCCTCGCTTGAAGCTTCCCGTGCTGGCTTTCCAGATGCAGTTACGATGTCGCCATGTGACGTCACTTTTGCTGGCAATTGTTTGCCTGCTTGCAGATCTCTAGCCACTGCCTCTGCCGATGGCGTCTTAGTATAACGCACCTGCAACTCAAAGAAGTACTGGTTTGCTGTGGGCAGCGGCTCATGCGGAGTCATAGGTCGTAACAAAGTTAAGTCATTCTCCCACCTGTAGGCCAGCCGTCGACGCCAAAGACGCCATCTAGCGCAGCCCCTCGGGATTTGCGAGTCTTTCGGGCCTGTAAGGAAAGGTCTTCCAGGATTGCGCCGGCAATGCAACCCTGCCTACGACTTTCAGTGCTACTGGCGAGGGCTTTGCCAAACAGTTCCACTTCGGCCACAGGTCCAGATACTTTCCCTGCATTACAATGCGCTACAGCAAGGATGAATGACTGCAGCCCAGCACCTCCTTGGTACAACATGCACCCCCAATAATCATAAAGGTGACCTGGTAGCCAGGCTGTACCCTGACCCCACTCTATTCAGCTGTTTTCCGATCCTGGGAAAAGGCCTTTCCCATACTGCTATGTGTACAAAATGAAAGGTTCGGCGAGGACACCTCCACAGACCTCGCGTGCTGTGTGTGCAAGAACTTTTTGGGACCAAACCATGCAAAATCCCTGGGAGTTTGCCAGACAGGACGCTGCAATGAAACATCTGAGATTTTGGACTTTCGACAAGATATCGGAAGACATCGGGAAAGTGCAAAGATGTCCACGGCCACTTGCTCATGATGCCCATCCAGACCTTCAACGACTTAACCACATATACAAAATGACGCATCCAACTCCAAAGCCTCAATTACGCAGATGTTGTTTCTAGCTCAAAGTTGTTCAGGCACTCTCAGAAAACGCAAGGGGAACCGTGGAACTGTATAAGGAACTTAACAACCTCGAATCAGAAAGCAAAGCCACGTCCGGCAGCCGCCGCATGTTGGCCAGCAGTTGGGTTCTCGAAGCGCAAGAGCCAGCAATTTGCGGGATTCGGATCGCGCTTGGTGCTTGCACATGACAAGTTACAATATCTGCATGTACCGCATACACAACACAGCATGTACAAAGTGCACCATGCATCCCACATATACATATACATATACATATACATTTACATATACATTTACATATACATTTACATATACATATACATATACATATACATATACATATACATATACATATATAACTCATACGACATGTGACATATACAGTACATGCAATACATACAAGATATACAAGCATTATATACAATACGTATAAGACACACAAGACATACAGTATATACAAGGTATACAATCCATACATGCTATACCATCCAACAATCTATACAATCTAAACATATTTTTGGGTATGAGTCCCCCACGAAGTATCCCCATGGTCCGACCAACCCTCCCTCTAAGTCCTACATGCTCCAATGCAAAGCAGCTCACTCCATGAGAAAGCTTTGATCTCGGACCCGCAAGGAACACAATCGCCAGAAGCATCTCTCGTTTGAGAACGAACATGGTTTGGAGAAGTGATCTTGACCTGGGGGCCCAGCTGTCAACTCTGAAGGCCAGCGCAGCCTCTGGGTCTTCATGCAAAAGTGGAAGAAAGCGATAAAGAAATGAAGCCAAATTGAATGCAGTTCTCCTTCTTACTCCGACCAGACTCCTGCACAGTGTCTTACGTCCCACGGCTCGAAGCGGAACATGCCGAGCGCAGGCCTTTTCAGCACTTCCACGACTGCTGCTGGTCGAGAGATGACTCCGTGATAGTGCTCACGCAGAGCACTGAGAAATCTTGAGGGTAGTCATTGCTTGCAGCTGTTGCTATGCCTCCCAGATGCTGAAAGAAGCAGTCATCTTCCACACAGCGAGCAGTGAAAGACGGACCACGAGGTCCAGGGAATGTTATCCCTTGCAGAATTTCAGGGCAAGGCCAATACTGCCCCGGAACTGTCGCAACAGTGCTTTAAGGTTCAGGGTTGGGGTTTGGGCTTGGGGAAACGGGTCGGTTCAGAAGGCCACGCAAGTGCTAAGCAACAACAAAGTCACTTACCCGGACCGTCCGAAATCCTGAGACAAAACTTTCACTTAGCGGCACATCGCACGGCCATCGGTACTCATGCACTGCATTCCTTGACGGAGAGGCTTCCATTCGGAGGGGACAGATGGCGCCATGTAGCACTTCTACACAACGAAGAAGTACTTGTAACACACCAAACATATCAACAATAAGAATGAACCCCGAGGCCAAAATGCGCATTGCAAAGCCTCTCGCTCTTCAAACTGCGGGCCAGCTGGTAGCACGCCTGCAGCACCTAGCGTTGATATGAATTTGTGGCAAGCATTAGCGCCTGCTTCATCCGTTGCGTTCTGCACCGTTTCATAGGCGGCTGTTCCCGTGGTACAGAGAAAAGCAACTCAAAGCGAGCCTGTCAGCGCCCGTCACAGTCACCATCGAGGAAATCACAGAAAAATTCAGAGTTTCACAGGTAACCAAACAGGCAGCCAAGCAGTAACCGCAGCAGTCGACGTCCAAGGCCCCATTGGGCATCTCCCTTGGGCTTTTCCCGTAGAGTGCCCATGGGCCAATGCAAGGTTTCGGGATGTTTCGGAAGTGTTGACTTCGGCCACATGCCCACTTGAAGCATCCCACCCCTTTCCTGTTCACATCTCGCTGTATGCGTGCCATGACTCCGCGGCGGAAAGGCAAGTCAGTACAAAGTCCGCACAAAGTCACAACAAGGATTTCATACTCATCTCCCGCGCTGCGCCCCGCCTTGGAGAGCCAGGCTGATTGTGACACTGACCCGGGCTGCACTTGATGGCACCAGAGGGGCTCTGACTGTGACTCACTGCACGCAGCACCTACGCTGAACACCACTGCACTGCCTTGACAAGCATAGATTCACTGCACTGCCGATCTTGACCACAGCTGATATTGTTGTTCGAACGACATTGCCCACCAGAATAATAAGTACTGGCACTGACTCGCATCGACCACACTACGAGGGAGTCGCGGCACTACGGCACTACTGCCTTGGCCTGGGCACGACCCTTCACCAGTACGGAACCCAAAACAGCAGACTAAGCGGGCGGGCATGTACTCATACGAACACCATGGCTACTCCTTGACCCGCACAATGGGTCATGTTACGGTCATACCTGGTGTTGCCTATTCTACCTCACCCTCAACCTCTGCCATGATCTCACACAGCCACGCAGCTGAATCAGAGCTGTGCTCAGCGGTCGTCACCCCTCTGCAAATGTCCCCGATGTGCTTGTCCAAGCACATGTAAAGATGAAGTGATCCCCTCGACTATCGAAAAACACCACGGCTGATCCAGACATGCTGCACACATGCACCCTTACAAAGAAGCTTTGCAGACTTCTAGCCTCAAGGGGATCACCTTAGTGTGACTCGAATGGACCTCGTACCTCAGCCCCGCTCGCTCCGCCCGTACATGTAGTACAGCTCGGGACACGGGAAGCCCTTCTTGCCTCAGCTAGTTTGGGGCCGAGGCTTTGGAGGGGAATGCTGACAAAACGCTCCGAAAGCTTTGCTCCGGCACATGCACATGCGAACCACTGTGCCGACTATGGCGTTATACCATTGCAGTTAGTTTTCAAGAGCTACAACATCTCAAGCCCAAGGTACGGCAAAAGCGGCGGAAATGAGTCCGAAGCTCCCCAAGGAAATTCTGCGCCCACTGCATGGCTTCATCCATGACATCCTGCCTGAGATTTCGAGCGCCGGCTCGCTGGCAATTCAGGAAATCTCTCTAAGGTTTCCAGGCGCATAGCCATCATGCGTTGAGTGCAGCCAAGTGACGTGCTGCAACACACTACTAGCTGCAGTGTCTCATTCTTGTCAACCTGATTGTCACCATGTCCTGGATGCTCTTCGATTTCACAAAGTCCGCTACCTTGACCACAGACTCGAGCAGACGCGCCCATGCGCGGGAAAGGAAGCATGTTGCAGCCGCCCTTTCCGATTACCCGTGGCACGAGCTCAAAGTCTGCATGCTTGTCATGGTCATAGCCGGAGAAGACAACGGTAAAGTCAAAGGCACCTCGTCCCATGCGATGCCGGCGCGGTGCAAGCTTACGGTTCCTGTGAAAATTAGCCTTGTTGGCCTTCACTGCTCTTCGGGGCTCGTTGTTGGGCTTGGTCCAAGTGGTCCAAGGCGCCCAAGGCACCGAACAGGCACCCGGATGCTGTGGCGTGAGGCTGTTTGGGCTGATTGGGCAGTTTGGCACCACGCGTTGCGTCACTTCAACCAGCCGAGGCCTCAAAAAAACAGCATTTAACGGATTCAACTCTGGCGTGCGCTCTTCCAGGACATCGCCGACATTGATCTCCCGATAAAGAGAGGAGTCGAGCGGAAAGGGCAGGTCTTCCGACAAGCCTCACACAGGGAGGTGCTGATTTCCTATACGGTCTTTGCGAACCTGAACGCACGCATCTCCAAAGACAAGCCCCTCTTACTGCTTCCGCATGAGTGCGGCATCCCACAAAGTCTCAGTAGGCATATGTAGGCATATGTAGGCATACTCCAGCTTCTCAGAAGGCTAGGGAACGGCTTCTCAAGTCTTAGTGCAGTCTGGATGCCCAAGCCATTCTTGTCAAGGTAGAATGCATCCTGGAAAGCCATCGCTCGCCGGCAAAATGCGGCTCCTAGCCTCGCACCTTTAGAAGCTAGAGACCTTTCATGGCTACGAATGCTACGAATGCTAGGAACTCCTGCGCTCCTAAAAGCTTCATTCTCAGCTGAGCCTCTAAACTCTTTGAGCCGGATACCTAAATGGCGGATCCACCGAAGGAGAGGAGACACAAACTACAAACCGGAATGTATATAGCGGCTCGTCATCACACACCATTCATGCTGCCACTCCTAGCGCGGTAACACTTCGTGGACAACAATGCCCAAGCTGCCGTGCGAAACTTGCGAATGCGTTCGAACGATGAGGAAACGATTCTCGGTCAATGCTCCAATGCCCACCACCCCCCCCCAGTTCTTTAACGAGAACCCTTTCGCCCTTCGCTATGCAGGAATGTCAAGAGGGCACTTATGAACCTCAAATTTCCGCCAGCAGCTACAGCACTTTTTGTTTCGTGCTTGCCTGTATGTTCGGATAAACTCCTTGTTGGCGCTGCTGGCATTCTACTTCCACGCATGGACTCGGCGGAGCATTCTGACAAAATCATTCTGAATCATACTTTGCCTGGAACAACGCTTGTGAGCATGTGTCTGAGTGACTCGACGTGCAGTCGTTGAGCCTCTCTCTGGTCCAGGTCAGTCTTCGTTAACGAGAGGCACTCGCACCAAGAGAGCGGTGAATCCGTGTCTGAGGCGTTGAGCATAAAGTCGTTGGGCAGACACCGTTTGAAGGTACCTGACCAAAGCCCAGAGCTACTGCGGTTCTCGATCCTCAAGCGCACTAGGCCTGTGCAGGTGCAGGTCTGATTGAAGGCCGCGCATTGGCTCCATTCGGCCCCATTGGCCGTAGTGGGAAGACGATCCAAGGCACCTTCGGCCATTTCATGAATGAAGCTGCGAAAATATTGCAGCTGGGTCATGACCTCGGCAGGTATAAACTCTGTGTCCGATGGCAGCTTGGAGGACAAGATCTGCACAAAGATCCGCTGGAGATCCCGCTCATCGTCTGAGGTAATCTTATCGAGCCCTGCGCTCATGACTCCATACACAAGGGTAGACAAGAACTCCGACACCGGGAAGGCATCCGCCTCCGTGGGGCCCAAGAGGTTCTCCTGTCACAAACTGAACCTTCGAGTTGAGTTATGCCTCTGCCCCAAGGTTCCCAAGGTCCCCCAAGTGCATGATGAAGGTTTTCCACTAGGATTCGGAAGCTCTCAGCTCTGCTCCCAGATGCCAAGTCCTGCTTGTGAACCTGCAGAAGACGCTCGAAGCGAAGAGCTTCCTTCAAGAAGATGAAACGAGGCTTAGGGCTCACATGGGCTCAGCATTCATTGGCCTTATAGGGCTTAATATGTTGAATGTAAAAGGACAGCAGGACTACGATGGCTGTCCTCGGAACGAAGGTGGTGGCCGATTTGGGTTCGTTCTTCACAGTGGAGCTCGCATAGTTTTTGGACATATTGGACATGCTTAAAGCCCTGCAAAAACCCGCAGAAATCCGAATTGCAAGGCCTCCAGCAGGAGCCGCCGGAGTCGGCGCACGAGGTCCGTGAGGTCCACGCTCTCGATGGCCTGGGAAGGGGCGCTGAAACAGAAAGAGAACTTTCGAGCTCGGACTGGCTGCGGTGGAACTTCCCGATGGGCTGTCGTAGTTAGCACCGCTCAACGAACAGGGCTTTGTCAATAACCCTTCTCTCCAGCTTCTCAAAGTTTCCGTTAAAATTGCCAACCACTTCTCTGGCACGATCAACACAAAATCGCGCGCTGGGACAAGTAGAACAACGCAACATATTCTCTGAAACACGCGGCAGCAATGTGACTTGTCTGCATGGCTGCATCAAGGTGCTTTCCCTATGTCAAGAACGGGGCTGTGCAGGTGACCATATAGGCAATCACAAACTATAAACGCACCTCTGAAACCAGCGGAAACTGAGATTTTTCAGGCCAAATACACTGGACATTATGCCGTTCAAAAGGAGAAGCTTGTACACTCACCTACGAGAAGGAAAACAGATACCAGATCTAGGTGGCTCCCAGCACACAATGTACCCGAAAGAGCTGCTGCCAGCGGGCGCCATCCAACTGGTTGCCATTCACCAAGTATGGCCAGTTAGAGGCCTCAGATTCCAAAGGGGAAGATTTCAAAGGGGAAGTTGGGCTTGACCTTAATAACAAGCACATGAAACATCAGCCAACAGCCCAAACCCAAACAACCTTCCTACTCCTACACTGGCCTCATGTGGCAGGGTCTGTAGCATCTTGTAACTTGTAGCCCACAACTTGTACTCTCTGGCAACTCAGATGCTGGTGGGAGCAGTCCTGAGCTTTGCACACCAGCACACCAACGCCAGGATGTGGCATCGGACCTAAACACTAGCCTGTCAGCCCCAGAAGCCGAACCCAGATGGCTTGCATGAAGTGCAAGAAATTACTCAATCAGCTCCGAGTTGGACTCTGTCCAAGGGGCCCTGGCTATTCGGGCGAAGGATGCGCAGAATGATGGCCAGAGCCCGTCGCTGTGTGTCTGCTGGCATCGGTTGCCTTTTGCGAAAGCCAGTGTCCGAGCATGTGTATTTGGGGCGTGGGCAGGGGGGGTTTGCAGGGGGAGGGGGGCCCGGGTTGTCCTGATGACGAACTAAGATTACATGGACAAATTGCCAAGATATCAACCCAGCTCAATCGCGATTGCCCGCGAAAACTTTCCCGGCATCCGACCTGGCTCGACGAGACTGGTCCGGGTATTTGTGCAGATAGGTGTTGTTGATCCCTCCGAGGTAGTATACTGCGTTGATACCCATCTCCGGCAGAAATCCGGCCAGGATGGAGTGCACCGCCCGCCCATAGAGGTTGTAGGATTCCCTCGGGGCCACGGACATCTCCAGCAAATTTCGCTGCACGTCCGCATAGAGGTCGAGCTGCTGCTCCCAGTAGGCCAGAGGGTCTGCAGACAGGTCATAGTCCAAGCAAGACCTGACAGGCACAACTACACATTTCGTGAAGGAACATAGAAAGCTTCTGTATAGCAGTGCAAGTATCTACTCTAGCTTGGAACAAACCAACTCGTCAGGCCATTGAAGCACAGCATCGGGTCTTCGCCCAAATAAAGGTCGTCGTCGTAGCAGGTTTGCATGCCCTCGGCGAGCCTGCGGACATCCTGCACCGTTGTCATGCACGTGAGGCAATGAATCGTGATGAAAGCCAATATGCGGTGGCAAGGCCGTGCGGCCGCCGGCCACATGCCCTAACAATCAAGCACACGCAACGCGCGAAAGCCTAATCCGTCGTGCGCGTGTGCAGCAAAAAAATCATCACTGTGAGTCCTCTAGTACTTTTTCGAGGCCAGGATCATTAGCTGGACTCTGCATATGTGTGTAGCCATAGCGGATGACGAGCTTGTCGTACTCGCCAATGGTCGGAGACCTGGGACCAGCTGCAGTTTACAATGGCCAAAAGGAGGTCTTGTGAAGCATTGATTTGCCCAATCGCTTCAGCACCCGAAATAGGTGGGGTGGACAACCAGACCGTACAGCCAGTGTCCGACAAGCTCACTTGTTTTTTGGGACGTCAAGCGAATTCCGACCATTGTATGGTCTTGGTCGGTACTAACGATTACAGCTTCATTGCGGGAACATGGGTGCCTGGCTTCCGAGTGAACCTTAAGCCTTAGCTCTTCGGCAGCCGAGCTTCCAAACGTGCGTCAGTGCTTCCCCAGGCCTGGGGAGGTTCACGGGGACGTAGTCCATAACGCTTGCCTCAAAAGGCAGCAAATCACAACTTGAAAGGAATGATACATACCGTTTGTGCCCTTGTGAGTGCAAGAACTGCTGACCTCAGCACAAGCAACGTCCTGACGATGGTGGACTACCGTCCAACCAACCCGTCCCCTTCCCGTCCCCACCCCCAAGGTGGCTTCTGAGCCCAGATTGCAGAATCTGTCGTTCAACGCAGGACTCTGCGGATTGTAAGGTGCCGCCGTGGCACCGTAGTGCCATGCAGGGCTGTGCAGTGAAAGTCTCTGAGGCAGTCCTGGCCTGGAAAGAAATGAAAAGAGGAAACATGAAAACTTTGCACGAATGGCCGAGGCTTGCCAAATGCTTCCAAGGCATCTTGCAACTGCCCTTTCATGTGCATGTACAGGCTGAGCAAACATGCCTGCGTATTCTTCCTGTCCACTTCCAAGCCAAACCGACCATGCCCCAAGCCACTCCCACTTACAACTCACGACCATGGACTGGGGCAAGACTTGGAGAAGCTATTTCGTCACTCTCGCAGGAACATCCGCAGTGCCGCAATGAAATGAATTGGCTCAGCACAACTCTCCAGATCTTGGACTGAGGTGATGGCTGACTCCGAGAGAGCCCTTGAAGTTATGCCGCAATCCCAGGCAGTGGCCGACCTGGGAAGTAAAGCCAAGGACTTCATGCCAAAATGTGTTGAAGAGGCCTCTACGATTCTACGGGTGCCTCTATGGCTCCATGGGCGTTTTGTGGGCCCGCCCCGATCACTGAGGGGGCACGGTGAAGTCCGAGGGTGATCAGTCGTGACCGCGGAACTTTTGGTTCTGCGAGGATCACACATTGTGTCCTCTAAGTGGTCTTGCCTCTGTTTGTTCAGCATCTGGAACCCCCAGCGCTGCCTCATGTGTGACGATCTCCTGCAGCCCAGAGCCCAGCAGCGCCTCCGGCGATCGCTGTGAACTCTGCAATCTTTTGCCACAAGGGCTGCTATTGATGCTATTGCTGCTATTGTGGAAACACATGGCTGCGATGACATGAGTCAAACCCACGTGTCTCGTCACCAGACACGACCGTCACCGTTGAACGAGATTGTGCTCAGGACATGAGTCCGACGAGTCCGACTCAGACCGACGAGACCGCCGAGACCGAGAGCACGCTGAGCTCCGACCTCCACCACTGCCCCTGGATGACGAGGAACGAGAGACGTGAGAGCCGCCCCCCCCCCCCCCCCCCACCTCCCCGAAACGTGGCGCCACAACGCATCCCCCTCGTCGGACTGCGTGGTCGCTGTGTGCACCCCCTAAACCCTGAGGCAACAAGAACTCTGTGCTGTGTGACGGATCAACACCAAGCCTCTATGAACTTGACCCAGGAACTGAGAATATGACAATAGCGAACTGTTACCGCCGCACCTAACAATGTGACACGACCCCAGAAACATGCCAACTTGCCCTTGCCTCAAAGGTTCCAAGATAGCTGCAACTTTTGTGGTTGAAACAATCCCAATGACCTGACTGTCGCTAGCATGGGCTAGCCGTGCGCTCCTGAAGCTCATTGCTTGGCAGCCGCTTCTGCATGTAGGCCTCGCTTGACATCTCGTTTGACGTCTCGCTTGACAGCCCTAGACTCGAGAAAAGGCGTTACTAAACTTCATGGTCACACGGTCGTTGAAACTCCAGCATTCACCCGCAAGCCAACAGCCCAAAAGAGATGAAGCCGTAATTGAAGGCCTTGTGAACTAGTGAAACCACCAAGGTTGACGAATATCGACAATTACTCTCATCCAGCCAGCGTGGCAGCAGCAAATCCGAAGCTTCGGGATTTCCGGTCTGCGCTCCCCTGCTGAAGAAGCTCAAGGATCCTGCGGCTCCGGAGCATGACTCAATGAAGATTCCACAAGACACAATTTCATCACATTTCATGGCATTTTCATACATTTTCATGGATTTACATTTTCATACATTTTCATACGTTTTCATACATTTTCGTACATGTCTACCACACCTCCACATATCATCTCCGGAATATCGCAGGGTTGGCCACCCTCCGTCCTGCGCAGTGGGGTTTTTCCAGGCTCTACGAGCCCTTGCTGCATGAGCACCGACACCGATGGTGTCTTGCTGAGGAAGTTGGTGAAGTTCACCCACTCCATCTGGACACGTGGACATGCAAGAGTACCTACTACCGTTAGCGTTGCTGCTGCTTGGACTTCCTGTTGCTTCACCTTCCGAAGACAAGTTAAGTTTTACCGCTGATCCATACCATCTCATCATATAGGCACAGCACCTCCCTGACGCCTTCCCACAGCGTTTAGGGCTTGGTTTGCAAACCACAATCGCCTCAAGCTCGTCCAGGTAAGACTTCACCCAAGAGTCTCCCATGATCACGTCGCATTTCAGAATCTCCCCACTTCTGGGATCGACCTGGCAGACGCGCCATGAAGACTCAACATGATGCGAACATCTTCGGATAGGGACCATGCTCGGACATGCGGTGAATTCGGGATTCTCGGAGCACCTTGAAGCCTTAGAGGGCCCTGGAAGCGGCGCTTTTGCTGGGGCATAGGTGCATGGCAAGGCCCACGACAACCTGACTATACAGTATGGCCTAAACATGTCAAGCAGGTGAAGATACACCTTGACAGTTCGGAAAAACACCCATACTTCAAGTCACTTAGTTGGGGCAAACAAGCAGCAAGAGACATGCCGATTGGCAAGACATGCTTGCCGCTTGCCTGAAAGACTAGGCACGTTTACGAACGCCAAAGCAGTCAAAACCCGTATGATTACACGCCCCTTCTATCCTCATAATCAAAGGGAGCCCGGGAGCCCGCTGGGGCCTCACGGTACCAAAGCCGCATCTGGACGAAGCCCCAAGACTTTAGCCCCAACTTTAGATAGGAACAACTCTTCTCACATTCTCCGCAGCAGCTGCACAGGATACGATGAAGGAACTTCAGGGTGGTCCGAGAGCTTGCAGAGAAAACAGAAAGTCAGAGCAGATGCTTTGCGCCCCGCCTTTGCGATGCCCATGCTGAGGGTCTCCTGTCTAAGACACAAGATTGAACTGGCGATGCTGATGTGGATGATTGTCAAAACCTTTGGCGGGCTGAAAACGATGCCCACGACGGAAAGGCTTTTTCATGCACAGGTGTAGGTGAGGGGCACAGACGGGCACAGATGACATGGATGGGGAAAAGGTCTGGCCAATGACTTCTGGCCTCAGAAACATCCCAGGTGATGGCACTGAAGCGCACATCGGACATGTCGTAGTCATCTGGCCAATCCTGATGCAGCTCTTGGGGGGAAGAGGCTGAACCTCTAGCCCCGCACATGCCAGAATCAAAGCGAAGCGTGTTACAAGGACAAGTACGCTACACCCGTCACCGCACAATACCATACAGCATTGCAAGATATTCGCCAATGCCAGAGAACGGCACTTAGAACAAAGAGCACTTTTGGTCACAACTAGGTCTCCTTGAAGGAGCCCTGACGCCCCAGGATCTGCTCCCGAGTTGATGTCTTTGTGCGCATGCAGGTCTTGGGATCTTGAGAAATCACTCTTCATCTAGCAAGCATTCAATGTATTGCGGTCCAGCCCAGCGGGTGGGTGAGGGCGGAGGGTGGGGGGCAGGGAGCGATGGAGGGAAGGGCGAAGGGAGCGGAGGGGGTCCAAAAATCATGATCTCTTTAGGACTGCTACTGCAACACGAGCCTTTGATGGGATCTTGCGCACTTGATCTTGTGTTTAGAAAACTAGGGTGGCAACGGACACCCTTCCAAACTCATCTCAACACTCCTTCTACAAACCCACATCCCGTTCCCTGCTGCTGGCAGTTGTAAGCAGCACGAAAAAACCAAAAAAGCTTGCCTCGTCTCCAGGCAGGATGGCCCGCACGGCGGCCGGCCGCTCAATCAAAGTGAAGGCTTCATTCCAAGCTTCGATACCCTTCCTCAGAATGCACGAAATAACTCTGGTGTGTTGCTGCATGCGCTTTGTTCTAGCCGATATAAGAAGTGATCCTCGGCATTCCTAGTCATCCTCGTGCGAAAGCGACTGACAACTCAGTAAGCTATCAGTTTACACAAATGCCTTCAGCTCGACCGGACGGTCTCGAAGGATACAGGACGACGACTCAAGCATCCAAGCAAGGAGTGACCGGAAATGTGACATTCCCTCCCAGATTCTTGAAGTATGGACGCCATCGCAGGGGCACGCTCGGATCGACGTAGAAGCCTGGTGGGCGATCCACTTGACACAAAAGTACTGGGCACAAGGAATGCGATTTGAGCACGGGGGCTGGACATGGGCCATTTCAAAGCTGGGCTGCGAATCGTGTGATCCGGCAGCCGCCGCAGGTTATACCTGGAGAACTGTCCGAAGCCCATTGACCCCACGTGTCAGTGAAATCAGGACCATCTTTAAGACATGTGAACATATGTGAACATGCCCTGACAGAGTCGTAGAAGGAAGCGGAAGAGTTGTGAAGTCCACACCCTCAACAGCTCCGAAAGCCGACAAGCCATAGCTGCTGCAAAGACTCCTCCAAATCATGGAAACATGGCTGTCCACAGCTTCGCTTAGCTTTTGTCGCACCTGCTGCAGACAGGAAACGAAAGCTCTTGCTGATTCTAGCTCAGCAGCACGTAGTTCAGTTGCTTGCAGGATAAATGCAGCAGGTACTACTAGCCACATCGTTGAAGTGGGGAGTAGCTTGAAAGATCGGGCATCACGTATGAGTTCCAAACCATGCCCCGCCATCAAGCCCCCTTGCCCCGCCCCCCCTCCCCGGCCTGCTTTCTGTGGCTGCCTTTGTCTCGGTACTGAGTGTCGAAGTAGAGCAAGCGGTCGTCATTCTCTCGGGCCGCCATGGGCACCTCTGGGAGCAAAACCATAGTGTAGCCCACGCGCAGCAGTGGCACACGTGGGCCATAGTCTACGGTGATGTCCAGGTTGGTGGGATAGTCCTTGGCCTTGATGATCGTTGTCTCGAAACCGAGGGTGGAGGTGTCAACCACGAAGAAGCCAAGCTCGAGAAGAGTGCTCATATCCACAATGACGCGCTCTTGCCCGCTTGTCCCGCTTGTCCCGCTTGTCCCGCTTGTGCAGTGGAGCCGAGGCACGGAAGCCTGCAGCCCATTCCCGACCCCAGCTCGAAGGGCGTAGACCGATTGAGGATCCGAGGTCCTCAAGTCCATGGCCGGCTTATACACATCCACGCTGCGACCGTCTGCTGACAGGCGAAGCTCCAGCAAAGTGGAGCTAGTGTCTTCCAATGGGGTTGCGCGCTCGGCAAGCAGCCCTTGATCGTCTGTGTAGGCACCTTCTTTGAAGAGAGCCATGACCAGAACCTGAACCTTGGCTCTGTTGGCCAATACGTTTGTCAAGTCCAGCACCAGGTTATCCGGATTATTGGCACTGCCGGCCGCATTGGCTCGGCCCAGCCTAAACATGTTAGGACTGCTGTTCTCACAGATCTGCGGCAGCGAAACGCAGTCTGGAAACAAGCTCGGGCACGGAGCCTTCCCTGTGCGCACCTTTGACAGCATAGCGGACGAGTGACCTCCATCGTCCTCACCCAGAGACTGCAGATTTAGCCCCATCTGCAAAAAAGTGGGAAACTCAGGGATCTCGCCTGTCCGGCATTCCTTGTCTTCGCCCGTGCTGGAAGCAGATACTGGTAATGGAACCCTCTTCAACGACAGCAGTAGCCCAAAGTACACAACAGCACGTACGGCTGCCATGTCATCGGGCAAGGCCGTGACCTAGCGGGGTTTCTAGTCACGAAATGGAGCTGAACGGCGAAGGCAGTACACTCACGCGCAGAAAGCAAAACCTTCGCTCTGAAGGTTGCTTCCTGCATTCAACTCCAAGTAGCCGAACAGCTAAGTAGCCCATAAGAATTGTCTGAAACCGACTCCCGCAACATCCACCATAATGGCTCTTGAAAGCACTGCAAAGCAAAGTAACAAAAAAGAAAAAAACAAAACGCCAGTACGAGTTGCAACTTTCCCCAGTCATGCTCAGGCCCACGCATGAGTCCACACCTTGTGGGGCACCCCTGGCAGAGAGTATGGGAGTATCGACCATGGGTGACCATGGGCCAGGTTGGCGCACCTTCTTTGATCTCCGTCAGTCTTGCATCACATCACCGACATGTGCAAAACACGAGCATTAACGCCTCCGGGCACGTCATCCTTTGGATGTCAGCACCGCAGCTTGCAAACAAACAGTTAAACTAATACCCAAGCAGCCCAAGCAACTCTGGGGGTCATCTGGGCTCTAAGGAAGTTGACGTAATTGCCCAACATCCCAGCGCCACGACCAATCAAACAGTTGAGCCGTTCTTCGCGGCAAAATGGTAGACGGTAAAAACGTACATTCAGGGTACATTTCAGTACCAAAGTTTGGTGGTCTCAGTCATAAGGCGTCACAACCTGCACGTGCAGGCCCATCCTTGGGGCAGGATTGCGTCTCTGTGGAGG